TTTTGAAACACATCGGTCGAAACATATAGTGATGGACTTTAAAACTTTTGAAGTGAATAACTTTTAATAACGTTTATAGGACATAGTGCTGCACATGAGACTGAAAAAACTAATCAACACATCCCCTACGTGTTTAAAGATCCTGTGACGATCTGAAGGAAAACGAGTTAGAAAATGTATGCATAGCATAACATCTCTGGTGCATGCGTTCGCTTGATTTAATCGTACTGAAAACTATAATAGTTACACAGATATGTGTTGGAAATAAAATGGATTACGATTATCTCCATAATAGTCAGAATATTTTCCGATGCAATAAGTATTAGCCAGCAGAAACGTACGTTCTTCATGTAAAGTGGTCACTTTATTTGTTCGATTTACACGAAAACTTAAATGGTTCTGTAAATTTCTGCTTCATGGAGATCATACAAGTTTCCTACTCTATATGTGCGTCAAGTTTCCCTACAGAAGGGCTCGCGACCTGTGATTCGTATTACGTCATCAATTAAAATAAAAACTTCATGCAGTCGTAACACTGTAGAAAACTGACAGTGTACTTTATTTACATGAACATAGCATAAATATTATGTTTTAGGACAATATCCATCGATCTTGTCTATCTAAAAACATCCCTGTTTATTTTCCAAAACACAACGTTTTGGAGACTGAATTCTGTCTCCCTATCTCAGGAGATATGGACTAGCTCTATCGATTGGGCCCAACTGAGTAAGTTTTACCTGAAGACGGAAACAGACTTCAGTCTCCGAAACGTTGTGTTTTGAAAAAATAAACAGGATGGTTTTTAGATAAAGAAAAGACGATAGATAATGTCCGACCGCCAATGTGGTCTAGTGGTCAGCGTTACTGGCTACAGATCCAGAGGTCCGGGTTCGATTCCCGGCGCTACCAGATTTCTTCGGAGAAGTAGTGGGTCTGGAACGGGGTCCACTCAGCCTCGTGATGATAATTGAGGACCTATTTCAAGAAAATATCGGCCCCGGTCTAGAAAACCGAAATTAACGGCCGTGGGGATTCGTTGCACTGACCATGAGATACCCTCTATCCGCAAAAGTTGGCACTAAACTTCCCCGACAAGCGGCGGTCGCTTGCGGACTGAAATCACAGAGTTTTTTTTTGTTTTGATGGATAATGTCCAGCAACATAATATTTGTACTAATGTACCATCGTCACAGACTTTGAGATCTTATGAACATAGCACCTACTAAAAACCGCTTGGTTAGTTCAAACGCACAGTTAAAATCGCAATTGACTCTATACATTTGTTAACTGTTCCGCGACAAAACATCCCTCCTTTGTTCGCCGGATATGCACATGAGCGCACTTCATTTGCTTTTTTGTTCAGCGATTGCGTTCTATTTGTATCGTAACAGCGGCCATTTGCAGTCATTTCTGTTTCAAAATGTTCTCACAGCGCTCACTCCATGGAACCAAGCAATTAGCCGTTGAAATTTCAGTCCTATAAAAATGTGCTTCCTTTAGTGACGTAATAATTAGCTAGACGACCATTTTGTATTTTTTTTTCCTTGGCACTACAGCCCCAGTGGGCCTAGGCCTACCTCCATGAACTCCGTTCATTTCGGTTTTTCTAGATCTTACACATTCGGTAGGACTCCTTGGGCGGGTGATCAGGTCGTCGCAAGGTCTCTACCTGTACACAAACACAGAAAAACGCACACAAACATCCATGCCCTGAGTGGGATTCGAACCCACGATCCCGGCTTCCGAGCGAGCGAAGACAGTGCATGCCTTAGACCCCTCGGCTACCGTGACCGGCCCATTTTGTATTAGCATTACATATATCAAAATGTCTTCAGTTCACTGCTGTTGTCTTAAAAGAATAGTCCCTGGCAGTTCGGCAGTTGAAATTGTATGCGTCCTTCTGTTCCGAATTGCGTATTCTTAAGTTTAAATGTTGTGAATAATCAACAATGAATTTGAAGTATCTGTTTTAAGGAAGCATAAACAATTGCTGTCCTTTGTATTCCTGGGCGTGCTCGGCACCCCTCAGCATTGGGTCCGCTTCGCGGACGGCAGATCAAGGATAGAGTTTTGTTGCCGGCTATTGTCTTTCCTCCCATTCTTCAGCCTTCCAGTTTTTTCCTTTCTCTTCTTTCTTTTAGTTTTTATATTAATTAAACGTCCTTAACGCCTTTTCATCTCCTTCACATGCATTATTGTAACAACAATCCTATCGGCAGTGAGGGATACGAAGTCTGAAATGCAGGCTGTCCCTATCAGCATAAGAGTACATTGCAAACAAACGAACAGGGATTTATTTATTTTCTTTTTTCTTCTTGTTACCTTCCCTTTGTTCTTCTGTTTTTCTTTCTGTATTCTTTTTCAGATGTTATGGATTAGGTAGCCTGGTCTGTTCTTAACTATCTTTTTTTATTGCTAGTGGGGTGGGACTAAGTCCCTTGTACTGAGGCCACTTCTGGCCTATTGTACCAGCCCCAGATGATAGGTGAGGGTGATTGTGGAGCAATTGGTGGAATGAAGATTGGCAGGGGAAACCGAAGTACTCGGAGAAAACTTGACCCAGCGCCACTTTATCCGCCACAAATCCCACTTGACCAGACCCGGGATTGAACCCGGGCCGCCAAGGTGGCAAGCCAGCGACTAACCGCTTGAGCTATAGCGCGGCCGTTTGTACGATTAGTAAGAATAATTTCACGTGGAACACAGGGCAAAGCATGGTCGTGGTCTAACATGGGCGTATGTACCAAACATGACTCAAACAAAAAGATCTCGCATGAACTAAGGTAAAGACTGCAATTGACGTCACTTGCTGAATGTCACGCAGAGACTTGAAGAAACACGTACATATATGCGCTCCTGCACTTCTGCGTTTTTCTTGGAAAAACTGCTCAGTTTCCAATTTTTTAATCTTGTGTATGAAACAAGATTTCCAGAGGAATTCTGTGGAAAGAATAATGATGGCAGACCCACGCTCACCGCAAAGAAACTGACCTCGAGGTGAGGCCTTCCCTCTCAGAAGATTAATGAGACGGTCGTTTAGCTGCCCGGAGCCGAAATTAATTACAACACAGCCCAGCGCTTGATGGATTAAGCTTAGACTGATTATTTAAACACGTGGACATAACGGCATTTCTGACGTGGAGAAGTGATTACAAATTTCACTACCAGCAAGAACTCTTTTCTATGCTTCAAATTATCTTCAGAATTATTACATGTGTTGATACATTTTGTGAGTGGGGCAACTCGCATGTAAAATTATTTTAACTCATAACTAAGTAGCTAACTAAATGACTGATTGGCTGAAAAAGTTAGTGGTGTGATACATGTTCACAGACAATCATGTTATGGAGGAAAAATAAAGCAACGAGGGAAGGTAGTGTGAAGTCCGTCCAAATGTTTCATTGGGTGACTTTCATTTGGTCGTTGCAGATTCATAGGCGTACTCAGCTTCATATGAAAGTTCAGTCTACTACAGATTTTCTAAGAAACATCTCATTATACAAGACACTGATATACAACATAAAATACAAGTACAAACCTTGTTAGGGCCTCAAACTTTCAGTTGAACACTTAATTGCAACGCAGTAATAGTATTCTGACGCACATGTCCTTTGTTAGGCAACGGCTCGGTAAACACATTCCCGAGGCATACTCGCTCAACAATAGGACAACCACTGCTAGATAACGGACCAATAAACAGGCATTCTTGACAACAGAAGACGGTGTTTTTCGTGAGGTCCGTGCCGAGGAATTATAATAAGGCACAGTCAGAAGACAGGACAGAGTACAACGGAGTAGTGAAATGTGGTCAGAAGTCGAGTGTCCAGTCGAAGAGGATGACTGTGTGTCAGATAGTGATTTGTGCACTGTTGTAACTAGTTGTATAAAGGTCCGTCTTATTAGTCACGCAAACCCCGAATGCGTGCCAGTATACAAGCAAAAATTATTTACGTGTGTAGGCAGTGTCCCAGTACTGTGTATTATCTGCGGAACAGTAAACATTAATTATTAGATTATCTAACGAAAATGCTTCAACTGCAGAGCTTGTACGGCTTAGAATGAGACGATAAGATGATCACGAATGATGAACGGGTCAGCATTGGGAAGGAGACTGTCGTGACCTGTCTAGGGGGTCACATCTTGATATTCGTCTGTAGAAAACATGGGGAACCTTGAAACCCATGACAACCAATAAACTTAAGATTTGGAATGAACAGAAATCTGCCGGGAAATTTAATTCTTGTGCGCAAACTTAACTTCATCACATTTTTCTCAAAAATGGCCCAAAGTTTGGCACATCATACAGAACAAAGATCCCGTTGTGATTTGCAAACTTTACTTTACACGGTGCAGAGCTAACGAAATGCAAGGGGAAACTGTTCATGAAGACCCAAAATAGCGTGACTGTTTTCGTAACAGTGAGTTTGTATTTGCAATAAATTAACACGGAGGCAAAATTTCCAGCAAAGCATCCTTAAAATTCTATACCTTTCCAATATATTTTGCTAAATATGGGGCACGCGGTAGTGTAGTTGGTTGAGGCGCTATGCTACAAGCCGAAAGGTCGCGGGTTCGAGTTCCCATGAGGTGGATTTTTCAATTGATATAATGCTTCCAGCTTCACTATGGCCCTGGGATCGACCCAGCCTCTAACAGAAACGAGTACCAGGAATCTTCCTGGGGGGGGGGAGCTGCCGGCGATTTATGCTGACAACCTTCTGTGAGCCGATTGTCTAGAGAAAATGTGGAAATATTAACGTCTCACAACCCTATGGGCTTTCACGGCCTATTACAGGGATAGATGTGCCTTCTTTTGTTTTTTTTTTACTAAATATTCTTTAACAGTGTCTTTTGGGGGCCTTATTTTTAAACTATAATTAAGTGCCGTAGCACTTCCCTGTCCATCCAAGGATATGCCTTTCAGTTTATTATTTTATTACGTGGTATGTGGAGCAGATTCAGTACTGTCTCCTCCATAACTTTTGCATCTTTTCTTGCAGGCAACAAGCACGTTGGCAGGTCATGTCTGTGGTGGGGCACGAGTGACGTCACCTGGGGCAGTATGATATGATGAGTTCACCTACGCATCGCAGTGAGAGCAACATTCGACGTTATGGCAAAGGAACCAGGTCGGTGAAGTATTTATATAACATAAAATGTAAACATCAATGCCTTGTGATGCGCAAAATGCATTTATGGTTGATAAAAATCACTCCATCGACATATGAAGTGTGTATGGCCATCCACCATGACGGGCGCCCTTTAACACGCTCACATGTACCATCAATATATTTGTGTAAATCTCGGTTATAAAATATCCATAAATATTTCTCGTGTACGAACTTACATAGAAAATGCAGGGAAAAACGAAAAGCGTTCTTTAACGAATGATGGTTAAGCTTATAAAATTCGAATTGTACATATTTACTGATTGGCTTGTTTAAATTATAATTAGGTGTGTTAATAAAAACCTACATAACATTATTTTTACGAGTTAAAAATTAAAATTGTATTACATTAGCTATAATCGACGTAACATATGCCGCTTTAGCAGAGCTTACAATTATCAACTAAATATCAACGCATTTTTTATTTATTCATTCGTGTATTTCATTTAATTTGATGAATTCATTTATATAACTCATAAAATGGATTAACTTGTCACCACATTTTGTCCATTCGTTGCTTTATTTCAGCCAAACACCCTTGGTACGATTGGTTTCTAAGCCGTTTTATTGCTGCTTCAGCAGAATTGAAAATATAAAGTGGAGAATATCCTAGTTTACTTGACTTCTTTGGATAGAGCGATGAAACCAAATGGCAAATCTGGCCGCGTATCTGGAAAAAAGTATGCGATTTAATATCCGCGCTCATTGATGGGAACCCCGTTGGTGAATTGGTCTCTTGTGTATGTTCTCTGTAGTTATTTGCTTCGCGTGTATCCTCTGTAAGCAGCTGTTGTAATACAGCCGTCAACTGGCGCCTCCCTCGGCTTCCCTACAAACTTGTTGCAACTGGCGAGAAGCGAAAACATACCTAAGCGTTATATGCAAATTTCCATTCTTCTAGCAATATATTTATACAAAGGGTGACAGTAATTGAGACAGTCCACACCCTTGTCTGAACCCTTGATTTACTACTAAGGGGGTTTCTGTTCTATCCTTCTTTTCTTTAGTAAAGACAATGCTAGTGTTGTCATATAATGATTTAATGGCGTTCATCAGATTTTGTGGGATGCATGGCATCCTACAGTTTACTCCGATTTACTTAATTGTATGCTTCCTCATAATCTTGGAGTAGAAGAAATATAGGCAGATTGTATTCTGTCCTTTTTTTTGTAATATCTGTTTTACAGCGAGGATTCTTCTGTGCATGATCCACTTTTACTGAAACAGCAGAGTTCTGCTACAGGCTGTAATTTTATTTTTATTTTTGTTGTGGTTGAGGTTCATTCAGAGATTCCTCTAAAATTTGAGCACCTCCATTTATCACCGTTGTATGTAGTATATTTACGATCCTTGAACACTTTCGTAATGCCACATTAAATCCATCAATCACCGGCGCTTTTCTGTTTTAGACCTTCTTAAAGCATCTTCTGAGTTGACAACGTTAATTACATTATTCTAATATTTATCTGCACATATTGTTTCAACTGTAAGGTCTCTTCAGCATTTACCAATAACTCTTTGCACTAGTACTTCCGCTCTTCCTCCGAGATCAGATCAATCCTTGCTTTATCCATTCATGCACATCAGCATCATTTCATGCGCGCCGAGCACATCATGCTCAGTTGTACACTGGAATGGGCTGACATTATTTTTAACCTGTCAGATCTGAGATTGAAATTTACAGAAGTGTATACTTCATCGGTTGGTTTACTGGTCTGTCTCCCTAAGAGGAGAAAATATATTTGAGGCATATGAAAACAATCAGGAAAATGTCAGGGCCGAAGAATCGATGGGGGAACAACAAAATGAGGAGTTTCAAAACGTACAGACTGGGCACTCTTGTATTGCGTGTGAGAAGACTGAAGGAATATTAAGAAAGGGGTTTAAAGAAGTAGAGTGTGAATGATTGGATTCATCTGGCTCAGGTATGAACTCATGGAGGGAATATATGACAATATGATGGCTCTGTATGTTCCCTAAAGGAAAGGTACTACTTCTTGACCACAGAGTAAATGCGAACTTTTCCAGGAATCTGGTTCATGTAACATGCTTGCACCCATAATCCAGGCAGAGAATGAATTCATTCTTTTGATTATTACGACGGCCTTCTTCTGCGGGTATGTAGCTTTGCTAGTTGGGAAGTGGTGGTGGTCCAGTCGCCTCTTTCGACCTAGTCTATAAGTTTGTTTTCGTGTCCTGTTGATAAATAGCACAGCATGAAGAGCCTGCTTACTTGTATCCCTACATGATTTGTCAATGCTCTGCCTTATGAGTCTGTGGTTGGCGACTACTCTCACACCTTCAGGTAACCGTATATCGGAAACAAATGATTACGAGTGCAAAGGAAGGAAAGCCAATTTGTTTTCCGCTCTGAAAGAAGTGTCTGTGAAGGACAACAAGCGTGGAACAGGTGGAACCAAACAGTTTGATTGATAACTGCTACATATATACGCCGTTAATCGACAGAAGAGTTACATACCTTTCTGTTTTAGCCGTGTCACTTTTAAGTTTTCTTTCCCATTCTCCTGCTTTTTGTTTCTATTTTCCCTTCCCCCCCGTATTTCATTTTTCCCATCTTTAGCTTATGTTTCTGTTCTCGTCTGTGGTCCGCCTGTCATCGTGTTACATTCGAAGAAATGTCCTCCGGGAGGGACTTTAAGCCGTGGGTCCCGTGTCGTAGCTTTACGGCACGTAAAAGAACCTCATGTCCCAAGGGGACCACTGAGCCAAATTCAGGACATTTCCCGCCCAACAGTAGTCTCTAACGCCTCTGGTAGATGGGGGAAGCATCGAGATACCGCAGAGCCAATAGAGGCCGAACTCGCTGGCTGAGTCGGGACTGATGGTACGCACCAGTACCGGTAGGGAATAGAGACTGGTAGAATATCATAGGGGGACAAACAATGGACCAACAGTTGGTCTAAGTGCATGGGGAAACCCACCCTCTCTAAATACAATACAATACAATACAAGGGTAAATGCTTCAGGAACGGGTAATGAACGACGAATGATAGACAAATACAGATTACGAGCAAACATGGCTAATCTGGAAAAAAGGGAAGCGTAGGCAACGAACTAAGACGATATCGAGGTAGTGTTGGTTTAACAGACAAATAGCATTCAGGACGACGAGGTGACGAAACAAGACTGACAGAGGTCTCACTGCTGAATGCGCAGAGGCGCGTTTTATGTCGGACTTTCCGGACACATTTAGATTCAACTCGCGACAGACCGGTCTAGAGTCACTGATATAACCGATTCAGGTAACTAATGAATTTCAACAGACAGCCTGTAGAATATAAATTGAAGAGGTGCGGTTGAAACGTACGGCCGATCGCCAGAATGGCTTGAATCCCATCCATCATTAAGGCTCTTCTGCAGTATGGTGGGGAGCAGTCTCAATATGTCTAACAAGTTCGAACAGTACGGGTGCGCAGTTTACAGTGAGAACATTAATCACCAGGTTCGCGGCAACGCAGAGGGTCCATATGTAAGGGAATTATAATGTAATCATCGGAGATCATTCGTATAGGTCTGTGTGTGGACTCACGCAAAGACAATTGCAGAGAACCTAATGCTCCCTCATATAGTTAGGGACAAAACCAATTATCTGAGTACACGTATATAAAATATATATTTTACAGTAAGAAGTAAAGAAGGTAAAGCTATCCCTGTAACAGGCTTTGGAGGCTCATAGGATTGTCAGACGTCGAGGTTCCCACATTTTCTAGACAATCGGATCACATATAGAGGTGAGGTTGTCAGCCTTACACGCCGGCCGCCCTTTACCTCCAGGAAGATTCCTTGTGATTATTTATGTCGGAGGCCGAGTCGACCCCAGGCCCACAGTGCGGCTGGACGGATTAAGTCAACTGAAAAATCCAGTGACCTTATCGGGAATCGAACCCGCGATCTTCCGGCTTGTACCATAGTGCCTCCACCAACTACTCTACTGCGAGTCCCATATATTTTACAGTAATCGGCAATATTAATACAATTAATATGAGTCAGTATTGGAGAATTAATCTTCCGTAAAGCTGAATATTATAGCTGAAATTTTGTGTCATTCTTCCGTAATTACAATTTTTAACTAACAAAACGAAAAATAGTAGAAAAGGAAAATTGTAAGTTTTCGTTTCTATTATTACTACACAAAGTGAGCACGATACACCACAGGGTGATGACGATAATGATATTTTTCATTCAACAGACGTGCAGGATATTTCTACGAATATTTCAACTAAGAAAACTCCACTTTCCTTTCCTACATCAACCGAAAGAAAGAACACGCAAGTAATGCTTCATCGAAAATCCTGCATTACGTAATGTTTGTTAATCCATGTCAGCATCTTTTGAGGAATTCCGCTGCTTTGCCAACAGACGTTGCGTGCAACGTTTTTAAGATTCAATCTGTCAACAAATATGGCAGTCAAGCAAACACTGGCCTCTCCCTTCTCCACTGATGTTCGTACTTAGGAACTGAAGCGAGACACTTTTCTTACACGAATTCACTTTCCAACAATCCTGATCTTGATCTCGTGAACTTCTTTCGTTTCCAAGTATTCGTGAAGCTAAACAGCGTAAATATGAAAGGAGCTAAACGTATTAACATCACGGAGCTCAACAATGGTGCGCACTAAAGTGGAGAACACATTTTCGGATACGTTTTTTGCGATTTTGCGCACCGATATTACATTAATCTCTGTGTTATTTTGCTCTAGATATTGATGCAATGTTATGAGGCTGATCACACTGCATCGTCTGTAATTATTTTTCTTCCTACAGAGTTCTTTAGATGGCACAGCCTAGAAGTGAACTTATGTGATAGGGAGCAACCCGACTTGACCGGAGGAACTCTCCCACTCTTCCATCTGAACCCGAATAGCAAGAAAAAAAAGCGCTGTATTTCGCTAAATATTAACCACATGGAAAATTTATTAAATAAAAGTCATAGGTGTCAATGATGTCAACAGTAGGTGATTTTGTGAAGTACCAGTTCTTTCGAATGATGACTCGTTTTTAGGAAATTCGTTAAGTTCCATTGTTATATTGCACCTATATAAACTAAATTTCAGTTTATTCTGTAAATCCGACCCCTCACATTCTGCATATTTGTCGACAAGTACAATAACGAAGTGGGGCACCCTGTAGCGTAGTTGGTTAACGCACTATACTACAAGCTGGAATGTCGCGGGTTCGATTTCCGATGAGGTCATTGGATTTTTCAACTGACCTAATCCTTTCAGCCCCACTTTGGCCCTAGGGTCAATCAGCCTCTAATAGAAATGAGTACCANACGACGAATGATAGACAAATACAGATTACGAGCAAACATGGCTAATCTGGAAAAAAGGGAAGCGTAGGCAACGAACTAAGACGATATCGAGGTAGTGTTGGTTTAACAGACAAATAGCATTCAGGACGACGAGGTGACGAAACAAGACTGACAGAGGTCTCACTGCTGAATGCGCAGAGGCGCGTTTTATGTCGGACTTTCCGGACACATTTAGATTCAACTCGCGACAGACCGGTCTAGAGTCACTGATATAACCGATTCAGGTAACTAATGAATTTCAACAGACAGCCTGTAGAATATAAATTGAAGAGGTGCGGTTGAAACGTACGGCCGATCGCCAGAATGGCTTGAATCCCATCCATCATTAAGGCTCTTCTGCAGTATGGTGGGGAGCAGTCTCAATATGTCTAACAAGTTCGAACAGTACGGGTGCGCAGTTTACAGTGAGAACATTAATCACCAGGTTCGCGGCAACGCAGAGGGTCCATATGTAAGGGAATTATAATGTAATCATCGGAGATCATTCGTATAGGTCTGTGTGTGGACTCACGCAAAGACAATTGCAGAGAACCTAATGCTCCCTCATATAGTTAGGGACAAAACCAATTATCTGAGTACACGTATATAAAATATATATTTTACAGTAAGAAGTAAAGAAGGTAAAGCTATCCCTGTAACAGGCTTTGGAGGCTCATAGGATTGTCAGACGTCGAGGTTCCCACATTTTCTAGACAATCGGATCACATATAGAGGTGAGGTTGTCAGCCTTACACGCCGGCCGCCCTTTACCTCCAGGAAGATTCCTTGTGATTATTTATGTCGGAGGCCGAGTCGACCCCAGGCCCACAGTGCGGCTGGACGGATTAAGTCAACTGAAAAATCCAGTGACCTTATCGGGAATCGAACCCGCGATCTTCCGGCTTGTACCATAGTGCCTCCACCAACTACTCTACTGCGAGTCCCATATATTTTACAGTAATCGGCAATATTAATACAATTAATATGAGTCAGTATTGGAGAATTAATCTTCCGTAAAGCTGAATATTATAGCTGAAATTTTGTGTCATTCTTCCGTAATTACAATTTTTAACTAACAAAACGAAAAATAGTAGAAAAGGAAAATTGTAAGTTTTCGTTTCTATTATTACTACACAAAGTGAGCACGATACACCACAGGGTGATGACGATAATGATATTTTTCATTCAACAGACGTGCAGGATATTTCTACGAATATTTCAACTAAGAAAACTCCACTTTCCTTTCCTACATCAACCGAAAGAAAGAACACGCAAGTAATGCTTCATCGAAAATCCTGCATTACGTAATGTTTGTTAATCCATGTCAGCATCTTTTGAGGAATTCCGCTGCTTTGCCAACAGACGTTGCGTGCAACGTTTTTAAGATTCAATCTGTCAACAAATATGGCAGTCAAGCAAACACTGGCCTCTCCCTTCTCCACTGATGTTCGTACTTAGGAACTGAAGCGAGACACTTTTCTTACACGAATTCACTTTCCAACAATCCTGATCTTGATCTCGTGAACTTCTTTCGTTTCCAAGTATTCGTGAAGCTAAACAGCGTAAATATGAAAGGAGCTAAACGTATTAACATCACGGAGCTCAACAATGGTGCGCACTAAAGTGGAGAACACATTTTCGGATACGTTTTTTGCGATTTTGCGCACCGATATTACATTAATCTCTGTGTTATTTTGCTCTAGATATTGATGCAATGTTATGAGGCTGATCACACTGCATCGTCTGTAATTATTTTTCTTCCTACAGAGTTCTTTAGATGGCACAGCCTAGAAGTGAACTTATGTGATAGGGAGCAACCCGACTTGACCGGAGGAACTCTCCCACTCTTCCATCTGAACCCGAATAGCAAGAAAAAAAAGCGCTGTATTTCGCTAAATATTAACCACATGGAAAATTTATTAAATAAAAGTCATAGGTGTCAATGATGTCAACAGTAGGTGATTTTGTGAAGTACCAGTTCTTTCGAATGATGACTCGTTTTTAGGAAATTCGTTAAGTTCCATTGTTATATTGCACCTATATAAACTAAATTTCAGTTTATTCTGTAAATCCGACCCCTCACATTCTGCATATTTGTCGACAAGTACAATAACGAAGTGGGGCACCCTGTAGCGTAGTTGGTTAACGCACTATACTACAAGCTGGAATGTCGCGGGTTCGATTTCCGATGAGGTCATTGGATTTTTCAACTGACCTAATCCTTTCAGCCCCACTTTGGCCCTAGGGTCGACTCAGCCTCTAAGAGAAATGAGTACCAGGAATCTTCCTGGGGGGTAAAGGGTGGCCGGGGAGTAAGGCTGACAACCACACCGTCATCTGTGAGCCGACTGTCTAAAAATGCAGGAACCTCGACGTCTCACAACCCTATGGGCCTCCATGGCCTGTTACTGGGGTAGCTCTAGTATTATGATGAGGAAGTTCGCCATTATGCAGGCTTCTCCACTTCCCTGTGAGGTCCAGCTCACCACTCGATTCCCCAGTGCCCCGTGTGAGAGGAGAATAGGCAACCCGCACATTTTATTCCCGTCTGTGTTTCAGGCCGTCCAAGAAGAGTGGTCCCATGTACTCTGACTTCTACGACGAGAAGGACAATTCCGACGGCAACCTCGGCCAGCGGTCCGTTTCTTTGGTAAGTGAACCAGAGTAGGACCTCGTATTTCAGAGGGTCAGACGAGGAGTGAGTGCCAGACGACGTTGCTGCAGCTTCGCTGCTCTTCTTTCTTGCGTAACCACCAGCCACGTAGGGAGGGCGAGGGAGTAGGTTAAAGAGATGGAAACAATTCCACGGTGAACTTCTTAATGTTTACTCGTCACCGGATGTCAGCAAGGTGATCACGTGAGGGAATATGACACGGGCAGAACTAGTAGGCGTAGCATGCATGGACGAGGGAGATGTAAAGTTTTAACCTGAAATTATGAGGAGAAAAAGTAGTGGAATGGATTCAACAGGTTCCAGTGGCAGGATCTTGTGAGCAATATAATGAATCTTTGAGTTCCATAACAGGCGTGAAGTTTGTTGACCATCTGACGACTATAAGCTTCTCAAGACTCTGCTCCTTAAAGTTATTTAGTTCGTTCATTGACTGGTTCGTTAGTTGGACTGCGAAATTATTTTTTCTCAGTCCGGATGTTCACATACGCTCTGCGACAAACTCGTCAGAATGAATGTGAATATTCTCGCCTTCATCTGCGTGTGTCACACTTTGAGCCCACATAGTTCTAACATGGGGATAAAACTGTAATGTGAAAGCACAGCTCTTAAATAGTATCCCATTACTTCTGTTTCTCTTCGTCGATCAGATATGAGAAATTCAGTTTAAATGCAGACTCTAGCAGCACTAATAATCTCCTCACAAATGCAAACTGAAGCGAAGGCACAGACATCTCATGTAGTGGTAATTTTTATGAACGAACGCGAAAAGATGGAAACTGGCATGGTCGATATATGAATTATTTTTACATTAGCGAAATCTTTTTCGCTTGGGATTCTCATAATATAATCTGTATTGAAATATATGATGATTTAAATTCCACAATTTTATTGGAGAATGTTTGTAGTTTAAATAACTCGCCTTGAGTTTGCCCCTTGTCACAATGCCATGGCGGATCCTCAAGCTACGACTGAAGAACGCCACCAAATAAGGATGATGGCTGCGACTGTACTGAATGTTCAGTCACGGACAGCCGAAAAGTGCGATCCTCCAGTCCGGTAAGCTGATACTAACTCTCGGCAAGAAATAACACTGTTTCGGGCGACTATCTTCGTCAATTTGGAACAGTCGTCTTCTGTTGGTTGCCCGAGAAGAGTTTATCACTTTCAGCCACCGTAAAAGCTTCATTTTTTATGTAATCACTCATTCAGTCTCTCATGGAACTGAGTCCTTCTTGCGAAGCTGCCAAGTGTGCAGATGCTCAAGAACTTCCCAGCATTTTATGGAACCAGAAGGTTCATGACAGTGTTCACAATAGCCCTCCAGCGGTCCTTATCCTGAGCCAGATCAATCAAATCCACACCATCCCATCCTATCTCTTTGAGATCCATTTTAATATTGTCCACCCACCTACGTATTGTTCTTCATAGTGGTCTCTTTCTTTCTGGCTTTCCCATCAATATCCCATATGTATTATTCGTCTCCCCCCATTCGTGCTAGATGCCCTGTCCACCTCATCCTCCTTGACGTGATCATTCTAATTATACTTGGCGAAGGGTACAATTTACTAAACTCCTCATTATGCAGTTTTCTACAACGTCCCGTCACTTCCTCTCTTATATCCAAATTTTCTCCTCAACACCCTGTTCTCAAACACCCTCAGTCTATGTTCCTCCCTTAATGTCAGAAGCATATTTTCACATCCATCCAGAACCAGAGGCAAAATTATACTCTTGTATATTCTAATTTTTGTGTTTTTATACAGCAGACGAGAAGACAAAAGGCTCTGGACTGAATGGTAGCAAGCATCCAATTTCCTGTTAATTTCCTCCTGAATCAGATTTTGATTTGTTATATAGTTCCCAAATATCTAAACTGTCCCAAGTTTTCAGTAACTATCGGAAAGCAAATTAATACATTACGAAGACTCTGACGGCATTGCAGGGGCGGTATTGTGAAAACGGATCTTGAACAAATGCGATACGAGGATGGAGACAGGACTGAGACGAGGTCAGGTCAGGATCGAGTGGCGGGTCTTATGAACATGATAATGAACCTTCGAGTGCTATAAAAGGAGGATAATTTTTTTACTATACTAAGGATGCAAAAATAAGTCTCATTGGTCGACCTTTTCCCACATTCCCCTCGAGCTATGACTCTTCCCCCTCCAGCACGTTCCATACATTCCCCTTAGTCGTCTAGACATTTTGTTCGCACAAATGCTGGTACTGCGACAAGCACTGTGGGCTTGTTAACATAGGCCAGAACGAGGCTGGTGAAGCCTCCAGCGCCTTCATCCCTACTACCCATGCAACTCCCTTCTGCGGCCCCTATATTGTATGACTGTAGTTCTCGAGAAGGGAACGTGTACCAAGATGTGTGATCATGTTGTATGGGGACTTCACTACTCCGTGCCATCTTCCGCGATTCAGCTTCAACGTGGGTGGAAACTTGCCGTAAAGGAAACCATGATTCAGTATCGTTTTCTGCAACAGGAGAGCCATAATTTACGTACAACCGACAGGGAAACACATACAACTATTACAGGAGATTCGAACTCAGAATAACAAGAAGTCTAACATGGCATTCAGCAATTTATAACCGGTTTGCAAGAGAAGTGAATAATATTATAGTTCTTCATTGTTCTAGGGAGCCCAAGAAGATTTCTGTTGCATATGTTGTCTTTTATTTAATGACTATGAAGGTAAAAAAACGCTTGAGAAATACTGAAAATAAGTTGATCAACCGTTCTTGTACCTTTTGTAATTCACGCATAATTCCAAGTCGAAATGGTTGTTCCATAACGAACATTTATTATCTGACATATATATATATATATACCTCGGACAGATGCAAAAACGATTAGTGACGTCATCCAAAAGACATGCCGCAGTCAAGGGCTCACGTCGGTTCCGAACCGGGTGTGCCAAAGCGACAAATCTAAGCCAGGAAATTCACATGTGTTTACAGATATCTTGGACTTGTGCTCCTATCTCAACAGTGCAGTTCTCATCGACGGGAATCACATATACCAGGGTTATCCAGCTTCGCACAACCGAGAGATTGCAGTGTAGCTCTGGTGCATACAGGCGAGCAGCATTACAAAATGTTTTCTGTCCGGTATACGGATAAAAATGCCTGCCCTGCATTGATCAGACCTATGAAACACAGGCATACGAATTATAATTGGACCCATAAAGTTAAAAAAAGTTTACCAGGTCGTAAATCCTTAAAAGTGAGCCGTTAAAAGTTGTTGGACTCTATCCACCTTGTACACGATCAAGGAATCATATTAATTTAATAATTTTATAAGTTGCTTATTAAGTGTGGTGTGAAATGAACTGAGAAATTACACGAAATATTTAGTTCTAACTTTTCGGGTTTGGTTTTTTGCTTCATTTTTTTTCTCCTACAAATGATTTCCCAGCTTTCTTCCAAAAATGAAGAAAGCGTCAAAACATTTTGAGAAAGGCTTGGAAAGATTTTCAGTAAGGAAAACTAGCTGGCTTGAGAGAAATATTTTTCTTTTCCGTCTTGTTTTGCGAAAAGAAACGCGAGCGAAAATGTGTATGCTTGCGCATGAGTCTTCCAGTTAAGACAGCATCAACACGTAATGCAAAATACAAATTATAAAAAAAGAGTTTAATACTTATGACGTAAAGAATTACGTTCTACTCATGTTTCCCGCTAAGATATAAGTTACAGTACGCCGACCACTTCCCACGCTCATTTTGTAGGCTTATGGGCTCTCATACTAGACACATACTAGCGGAACTTCGAGAAGAGACCTGAATTAGAACTGAAAATCCAAACTTTATTAATAAGGATGTTTAAAAGCCGGCATAGTGCAGTTGGCATAACGACTGGGTACGGGCTGGACGACCTAGGGGTCGGAGATCGAGTGTCGGTAGGGTCAAGAATTTTCTATTCTTCACATCGTCCAGACTGGTTTTGGGGCTCATCCAGCCTCCTATCCAATGAGTACCGGGGGCTATTTCCTTGGGGGCAAAGCGGTAGGGGCCTGAAGCTGACCACTCATCTCGAACTAGTGCCGAGGCCAATAAAATGTGGATCTATACATCCACTCCCCCATACGCCTTCATGGCGCAGTGCTTAATTAGTTTTTTTTATTGCTAGTGGGGTGGGACTAAGTCCCTT